ACTGGTCTTGTGATGAGGCTGAATGGGAGAACGAGAGATAAAGAATAGTCGGACTGTCTCCGAGAATGAGAGAGAGAAGAATAGACTGAAAAAAATCCCCTATTCTTGTGCTCACCGAACATTCGCGGCTCTGCGCTGCAGCGGCGTGGCCGTTCTCCTGCGCTTCTGCCTCCCGGTCGAGTTCAGCTTGTCGCCTCTTCCTTCGTCGGTCAATCCGGCCAACACGACATCAACTGGTCGCCAAATGTCCGGTTGCCAGGGTGACCATAACTCGGCATCGCGAGACACATCGACGATTGGTCGGCCTCTCGGTGCTCCGACTCCCGACGCCGGTAGCCCCAGCAACGAGGCGCAACCGTAGCCGCAACAACACACGCCCTGGCAACCGAGTCCGTCCGACCCGACGAACTGGAAACCGTCGGCATGGCTACAAATGCCGCGTGTTTGCGCCTCAAGCCCGGCCCAACCGACCGAGTGGACGCTTTCCAGCTCCGGCTCCGGCTCCGGAGCCGAGTCGCGGGAGCCACGAGCTCTGATTGGCCGAGATGGTGTGCCCGACGCCTGCCTCAACTTCGAATCCCGCCATTCCACCTCGCGCCGTTGCTTGTTGAGGCCCCCGTTCGACTCCGGCCAGACGCAGAGACGAGGCGGGCACCACCGACTGTACATTCTGACTTGTGTCTTCTTCATCCGCCCCGACCGACCGGCCAGTCGTTGGCGGCAACGCCCGAACTGGGCAAGACGAGAAGACCGAGCGAGGGGCGGGGACGAGTCGTTCGAGTCCGGTCAGCCACGAGGGCGTCGGGTCAAGTGGTACGCGCTGCACACCCACACCCGCGCCATATGCTCACCCACCGGCGGACCTCGCTTCCGGCCTCGCCTCTAACCCTGACAGCCCGACAAACTGCATACACTCATGCACACGCGTGCACACAAACACTCTCATACATGTCCCGACGACACGCCGACACTCAACCCCTCTACCCACTCGGCCACATGTCCTGATTGACCGAGGCTCGAGTGTTCATTCCTGAGTTGCCCAAACTCGCGTCGACTACTCATATGGAAAGTGAGTAGCTAATAAATGTAACTTGTGAAAAAAAACAGCTCGCCTTTACGACCCGCTGGTATGCCTGACTGTGAACACCGCGTCGAGCGAACTTCTCCGGCGTCATGAAGCCTAATCCGATGGGGTTTGGAAAAAGACAGATTTCCGTCTAAAGACCCATGTACTCGGAAGTGTTTGTGTTGGCATGCCTTTAATTTTGTGTCAAGATACGATAATTGACCAAGAAAGAAAAATAAGAAAGCTGACTCGTCCCACTTTTTAAAGCCTAACTTTGCTAAATTATCATGAATAAGTTGATTTTCGAAACTTTCGGTAGATCTTGTTTACGAGCCCTATTCACCATATTTCGCTTTAATTGTGAGGCACGACTATGAATTGAAGATGAATGGACCGCATGAATTGCACAAAATCCTGCTCCCCAAAAGGTGCTGTCAGTCCGGCTGAAATCGACTGCTGCTTCAACCTTGCTTGAACTGATCGTAAACTCACTCCCAGCGGGACTCGAACTCAAAGTGTAAAGGTGCAGCGTCGTTGACATTCCCACCACAGGAATGTGATTTGCGGAAGGTCTATGCCTTACTTTGAACACAAAGCACTCGTGGCAGTCTGACGTGGAGGTAGCCGTGTCGAGGCTGTGCACTGTAGCACCTCACTGTAGCACAGCATGAAAGCATACTTTAGGAAAAAAACAGACTCACTTTCTATACACAACTTTGAGATCTTAACGAGGCATCACATGATGTATGTGAAATGTATTTTCCCTACTTCGTTGACTTTTCTCACAATTATATGATTAGAGCTGACTTTTCCATTGAATTTCGTATAGCTTTTCTTTCCCAAAAGGTGTTCTCATCCCAGCTGAAGTGAACTGAAATTTCTACCGCGCCCAGGTCATTTCAACACTTCCAGCGGGACTCGAACCATGACAAGTCAGCGTATAATCCCGACAACTTACTCACTTGGATCACAAAGCAGGTGTGAAATTCAAGGAAAGCCAGGCATCTTCCCATATGACATTTTCTGATGGGATTTTCGATGAAGCAAGATCATGTATATGAGATGTATTCATCCTATTTCGTTTATGACAAAAAGGGGACGGGTAGATGAATCTTCCAATTGATACCACATAAAACGAAATAGGGTGAGTATATCTCATATATCTGATCTACTGACGGTCTCGAAAACGAGATTTTTTTCATTTTTCCGGCTATATTATGCCCAACATACATTTTTGTAAATGGGAGATGTTGTGATGAATGAAAAGCAAGAGCTGTGTGATGCTGTCATTTTTTTACGCATGTGCCAGTGCTTATTGTGTGTATGCCAAGTTCATTTCATGTGAAGTTTGACAACCCTAATCACACTCGAAGCTAATCAAGTAAGATATAAGAAGTGAGTATGACGTCACGGAGCATTATTCTGTGCACTTTTTTTATTTGAAGACAGACGAAGACTTAGGCCAGGCTCATCGACAGTCATCACTTCACTTTGCGACAATCCTTCTTCGCTTCCGAATGATACTATTTCACAGATTTCTTCCAACCAACTTTTTCTACGAAACTGTATTGAATATTTATAAACTCAATTTTTATTCATATCTTTGGCTGTAGATGACGTGTGAAGCGGATGCAATTGTGGCCAAACAGCTGCATTCTGTGCTACATCACACCTATTTTTGATTCTGTACCGGCTGAAGAGGATTGCAGTTTCGACCTTACCCGAACTGGTCCTATCAGCACCCTCAGCAGGACTAGAACCAGAATAGTGCACCCCATAACCTCGAAAGAGGTCAGATGTGAATTTGAAGCAAGAC